TAGGAACATTTAATCCATTTACATTTAAAGCATTTATCAATAAGTGTACAGTTACTGCCATTCTTTAATTCATATTTTTTAATGTTTTATTTCTGCTTCTTAAAGAAGTTCTTAAGCATTTCTGATAATTCTGGCTTGATGGCAATAAACACCTTCAGCTTTTGCTTGTTTGGAAAGCACTCTATAATGGCTTTGATTCTAAAATGATATCCTTGTTGCATAGTATAATTTAGGTTGTAGGTCATTGCTTTTGATTACTTTGAAACCTAATCCTAAATACAAAATTAACCCTTGGCCTAGTTCTAACATTAACTCTAATCCTAAAACTAACCAGATTTAAAACTGAAAAACTAAACTCCAACCTTAAACTAAACTTAACCCTGACATTTATTATAAACTCAAATCTAATTGTAACTCTAAACCTAAAACAAATTCTAATAATAGTCTTACCCTAATGATAAGCCAAACGATACACCACTAACCTAACAAAAAACATAACCCCAATGGTAGCCTTAACCTACGCCTACTGTATCTTACCATTTCCTTGATACTTACCCTAACATTAACTCTAATTCTAATTCCCAAAGAAAACATAATTTGAAAGCCAAATCTAGACCTAACCCTAATCAGAAACTCAACCCTAAACCTAATTCTATCCTGATTTAAACCCAAGTTTTAACCTCAAAGCTAACTGTAAACCTAAACCTAAACCTAAATGTAAACTCTGTCCTAAACCTAACACTAATTTTAACCCAAACCATAGACTTTAATGCAACCATAGCGCTTATGAAAGCCTAAAACTAATCTTAAATTCATATCTTGATCTCAAAGCTTTTCTCAAGCTAACCCTGGCCGTCACTCTACCAGAGACCTTAAATGTATTGATAATTAATAATACCTAAATTGTAAGTGTGAACATAAATCTAAAACTAACCTGGACCTTGTCTTTACACTAAAATTAACCCTAAATTAATCAAAAACTTAATGTTAAAGCCAACACAAGCAATAACTAAAACCTTAATCCTATCACAGATTTAACCCCTGTTCTAATCATTTTTAAACTTAATGCAATCCCCAACCTTAACCCAACACTGAAACACAAACCTAACCCTAATTCAGAAACTAATCCTAACCGTAACACTGACCCTAACTATAATTTAAACTAAACTCATAATCTCAAAGTTAACTCTAACCCTAATTCTAACATAAACTTAATCATAAACTCAAATGTAACTCTAACCATAAAATTAACACATAACCTAACCAGAAAACACCAACACTAATCTGAATTCAAACCTCCTCCTTGCACTTACAATCACTGTAACATAAACATTAATTTTAAACTTGAAGGTCAAAGGAACCTGTAACTATAAACCTGAACTTAAGTCTCCCTCTATTTGTCAATTAATTCCGATTCTTAACCCCAACCTTAAAGATAACCTAACTCTAACCTAAAAATAACCCTAAATATAACCAAAGAACTTACTTAAAACTAATCTCAACACAAATTGTAAGTAAAACACAAAGCCCAAACTGAAAAGCCCCACTAACCCTAAACCTAACCCAACACAAAATATAAAAGAAATTCTTACCTTCACCCCAACTCTAAAATCAAACTTAACCCATATTGTAGTGCAAAACATAACCAAGATCTTTACCTAACACTCAAACTAGCCATAACCCTAACTTAACCCAAACCTTAACCCCAAAGATAACAGTAACTCTAATTGAAACACTAATTATAAACTCATCTATAACATTAACTCTGATCTAACTCAGACTCCTCCAAAAAATCGAGCAAGAGGCAATACTGCAAACTCGTTTCAAAAGGCCAATATTACACTGATACTAAAATTTGGTAAAGATACCCCCTCCAAAAAAAAAAAAAAAGAAAGTTGCAGACCAATATCTTTCATAAACACAGATGCAAAAATCCTAAATAAGATACTAGCAAATCAAATACACCAACATGTTAAAAAGATTATACAACACGATCAAGTGGGCTTCATCTCAAGGGCAGAGGGATGGCGCAACATAAGCAAATTGATTAATATGATATAACACATTTTTGACACAAATTATAAAATAAGAATCATACGATCATATCAGTAGTTGCAGAAAAAGCCTTTGAAATGATACCGCCTCCATTTATGATCAAAACATTGAATAAAATTGGTGCAGAAAGAAAGAAACAACATAATAAAGGCCATATGTGACAAACCCTCAGCCAACATTTGATTAATGATGAAAACTAAAATCCTTCCCTCCAAGATCAGGAACAAAGCAAGGCTGTCCACTGTAGCCACTGTTATTCGATATAACCTTGGAGGTCCTAGCGAGTGCAATCAGGTAAAAGGAAGATATAAAAGACATCCACACAGGAAACGAGGAAGATTCACTGTCACTATTTGTGGATGACATGATTCTCCATGTGGAGAACCTTAATCATCCCACAACAACACTACAAGAAACAATAAGCAAACACAGTAAATTCTCTGGATACAAAAATCAATGTTTAAAAACCCATAGCATTCCCATATGCTAATAATGAACCATGAGAAGAAGAAGTGGAAAAAATAATTCCTTCTGCAATTGCAAAAAAAGTATAAAATACCTAGGAATAAATTCAACGAAACAGGTGAAAGACCAATATAATGAAAACTAGAGGACCCTATTAAAAGAAATCAAAGAAGATACAGAAAACTTGAAAGATATTCTGTGTACTTCAATTGGAAGAATCATCATAGTTACAATGACCATATTATTTAAAGCATTATACAAATTTATTGCAAAGCCGATCGAAATCTCATGGATATTTTTTAAACAAATAGAATAAAAAATCATCAGATTTATATGGAAGCACAAAAGACTGTGAAGTGCAAAAACCATCCTGAGAAAAAAGAACAAGGCTGGAGGCATCGCTCTGCCCGACTTCAAATTACATTACAAAGCAACAGTCATCAAAACAGCATGGTATTGCAGCAAAAGAAACACACGGTGCAACAGAATCGAGAGTCCAGAAGTAAACTCATATTCCTAAAGGTGAAAATGTTTGACAAAGAAACCAAAACATACAATGGGAAAAGGAAAGCCTCTTAAATAAATGGTGCTGGGAAAACTGAAAAGCCACCTGCCAATGCATGAATCTAGACTGTTGTCTATCATCACACAGCAAAATTAACTTGAAATGGATTAAGGACATGAATATAAGACCAGAAACAAGAAAATTCATAGAAGAAAACAGGAGAATGAAACTCAAGAAACTTGGACTTAAAGAGGATTTTATGATTTGACCTCAAGGCAATGGAAGAAAAAGCAAAAATAAATAAATGGGACTGCATCAGACCTAAAAGCTGCTACTTAGCAAAACAAATTGTCAACAAGGAAAGGAGACAATTATCTCACTGGAAAAATATATTTGCAAGCAACACCAACGATAAGGGTCTCCTATACAAAATATACAAAGAACTGATAGGACTCAATAACGACAAAAAAGCAAATGACTCAATCAAAAACTGAGCAGAGGACCAGAACAGACACTTCTCCCTAGAGGGCATACAAAGGGCCTACAAACATGAAAAGATGCTCAGCATCGCTAACTATTAGGCAAATGCAAATCAGAACCACAATGAGGTACCATCTCACACTTGTTACAATAGCTATTGTCAACAGGACAAGCAATAAATGTTGGAGAGGATGCAGAGAAAAAAGAACCCTCATACACTCCTGATGAGACTGCCAATTGGCATAGCCGCTATAGAAAACAGTGTGAAGGTTCCTCAAAAAAATAAGAATTGATCTACCATATGATCCAGCAATCCCAACACTGGGGATTTATGCCAAAGACCTGAAAACCCATATTCAAAAAGATATTGGCACACCGATGTTCATTGCAGCATTATTCATAGTGGTCAGTACATGGAAGTAATCAAAGTGTCCACAATAAATGATTGGATAAAGAAGTTGTGGCACATATATTCAATGGAATGTTACTCAGCCATATGAAGAGATAAATTATGCCATTTGCGACAACATGGATGGACCTCGAGATAATCATGCTAAGCAAAATAAACCAGACTGAACAAGTACAAAATCACATAATATCACCTATATGTAGGAATTTAAACCTAAAAGCAACAAACGAACAGGACAAAGACAGACTCAGGGCCATGAACAATGGACTAGGGGTTATCTGATTGTAGGGGGTAGGGGAGGAGGGAAGAGGTATATGGGTTAAAGAGGGTAATATACTGGGATTGGAGAGGTTAAAGTGAGTAAAGGGGATCAAATATATGGTAGCTGAAGTAAACTGGACTTTGGGCGGTATTCACACAAGAGAATACATAGACATCAAATTATAAAGTACATCTGAAAATTTTACCACATATTAATCAATGTTATTCCAATAACCTTAATTTTAAAAATTACTTGAGTCAATAAATGAATAATGTCTGCATCAACTTCCCTAGAAAAAAGTATATCTGTATATATTTAATTTGCAAAATGACATTTTGTTCTATTGTAAAAATGCTCTTAGTTTTTTTAATATTGCACATAGCCAATAAAGATAAGGCCCAGAAAAAAAAAAAGAAAAAAAAAAGTATATCTGATTTAATTTGCAAAATGACATTTTGTTCTATTGTAAAAATGCTCTTAGTTTTTTAATATTGCACATAGCCAATAAAGATAAGGCCCAGAAAAAAAAAAAGAAAAAAAAAAAGCTCTGCCGCAATAAGTTTTTGCAGATTACACTTCATAAATAACCAGCCTAATTTTATGTTACCCGAATAAAATTTACAGAGTGAGAAGGAAACCCTGACTTCAGGTTATGTTTAGTTGCTAGGAGACATCTCATATTGAGATGTCACAACTACTCAGGGGGAGCACTATTGTGGAGATCTGGGCAGTTTTTCAGCATAGGTCTGCCAAGGCAGCATCTGGGGCTGCAGTGTTCAAAACTAGATCAGTGAAAACAGTAGATGAAGAAAGGTTTATTTGACATGGCAAATGTTTCTTCAGAAATTCAAGGTGATTCTTCTAAAGATGAAGCAACTGGTTCAGCAACCTCCATTCATTCTCCGTTGTGTGATCACACATTGCCTGGAGTTTCACACTTGAGTTCTAAATCCACAAAAAATGCTTTTCAGATGTTTTCTGCACAATCCTTGGTAAGATGACCATGTCACACATCTTGTGTCTCTGGACCAGATGAAGATAATGATTTTCGATCTATGACCTTTCCCAGAAAACCCTGGAAAATAGTTGAAAGCTATTGGTTTCAGTCTATTTGCTGGGATGGAACTGGAACTTGTGTAGTGATTAAGGAAGAATTCTTTAAGAAAGAAGTTCTGGAAAGAAAGGCCCCTTTCAGAGTATTTGAAACTGCAAGTATGAAAAGTTTAGTTCGACAGCTTAACCTTTATGGATTTAGTAAAGTGCAACAGGCTTTTCAAAGATTTGCTTGTCTGGCTGATATTCTGGCAGAAGAGAAAGAAGTCTGTTTTAAGCAGGGTAGTACAAAATTTATTTACTCCATATAATAAGTTTATATATATATATATATACACACACACACACACACACATACACATATACATATATATGTGTGCACACATACATATACATTTTATATATTTCAAAAAATATATGAAACTAGTCGGTTTCATATATTTTGTGATTTTTTTTCCACAAAAATGAGAACTCTTTGGGCATTCAGGATTATAAAAATATTACTAGAAACTTTGAATCTCATCAGTGAACTCTTAAGGCAAGGTGGTGAAAGCACTTTATAGAGTTCATTCACTGTTATTTTAAATGTAAACATGATTTTTTTATGAGGGCCATGCTATTTAAGTTTTTATTCCCAATTATTGATTTTTGACAAAAGTTAACAATGTCCATGTGTTGATGACATCAACTTGGCATAATAACCTTGATATATGAGATTTAGAGATTAGGATTCTTTAGACTTGTGAAAGGGTGTAACTGTGTCCTCTGTTTTTAGTTACACTTCTATCAAAATCCAAATTTTAAACGAGGCTGTCCTCAACTTTTCCTCAGAATGAGAAGAAGAGTTGGGATCAAAAAAGCTTTTCCAGCAGCTTCAATAGCTCACAATTTCAATAGGGAGCATACTGGAACAGAGATTATTGTAGGTAACCATCATTCTGGTTTTCTTGCTGACACTCGTGGAGAAAGCATATTTTCAACTTCCACTAGTTCAAATACATTACCAATAAGCAAGCCTGCTACTTGCCAGATACTTGCTAATACAATTGCTCCAATCAGAAGTGAATTTCCTCCTCCTTCATCAACTTTAGGTAATCATCAGAACAAACTGTAATGGACCCACATGCTGTTTTGAATCAGTTGACCGCTTTTCAAATGCACTCATATGGCAGCTACACTCAAGCAAATGGCCACATCGTGAATATTATTACAAGCACAACTTCTACTTCTCACTATATCCTAACTCCCTTACAGACAAGTTCTTTTGGAAAGATGCAGCCTTCTACTTTTCCAACTAGATATCCTGATTTACCAGTCATTGATGGTCCTTTTTCCCAATTGCAACTAGCAGGCAACCCGTGGATCCCCATGCCAACGATGGCTGATACAGCTGCTTCCACTTTTTCAAGGTCAATTAGTCAACCACCTTCATCAGGTGAACACATTACCCTAATTACAGGTGATGTATCAATAGTCTACCAGACTATGCAAAATAGCAAACATTAAAAATTATGTTGGAAAATATCAGCAAAATGCATTCAACCTTTGAACAATAAACTTATATGTTCACCTTATATGTTAATTTCCTTATTTTTGAAGGAGTTAAGAGTAAAATGATGCTTTTTTTTTTTTCCCATGGTAAACTGTATACTGTTGTTTAATATTTGGACCTTTTGGTCATTATGAACATTTAAGTAAATTACATCTAATTAAGTGTTATAAAGAGGTAGAGATCAAGGGAGTAAAAGCAAATGAAGAAACTGGAGTTAAGTGATATCTGAAACAGTCCAGGTATAATCAAATGAAGGCCTAACTTGGGATGTTCGGAAGGGATAGATGCATATCAAACCTAGAAAAGATACTCATGCAGTATTCACTTTAGCATTTCCTCAATTTCATTACTTTTTCCTGTGATTCTAAAATATAAGACATTGGATTTCAGTTGGCAGAGCTGACTTCATTCAAAATGCATCTCACTCTTAAAAGAATAGCATACTCTAACAGCCCAGGAATCATGGTCACCATGATGCCCTCACTGAAATTGGAACGATCATATGCTCTTTTCATAGATTTCAATGCTGTCTGCAAATGCAGAATTTTATAAATATTTCAGATGTTTCTTTTTCTTCTACTGACCTCAAGGCATTCAAGCTTACTCGTGTCCATTTTTCCTTCTTTTGTGAGTCCACTGAAGAGGAATTTCCCCCTTAAGTGGCCAATCAGCTCTTTCTGCTTCTGTAAATATGCTTGTTGCAAAGCCAGGTCAACAGAGAACTTATCTTCCGCTAAAGATATGCTGCTTTAGTGCTTGTTATATAAAAAAATCCTATGATCTATAACTGCTAGTAGGAACTTAAGAGGTCTGTAAATCAGCCTGTGCCAACTGTAACAACACGAGTATAAAAATAAAATTGCCTCTAATTTCAGGGTCCAGATTTCAGAGCACTAGCTCTTCTGGGATAGCCGATGTAATAAAATTGAGTACTCTAAATCTCCAGGTGCTGCTTGATTTCTCTCTGGTCTGAGTTTTTGTAACTTTTCTGCGACATTTCTAGAGGCCCCAGAGAGATTTACAGCCATGCCGATCCTTTGAGTTGCTGGACTGGCGGCTGGCTGAGCCAGCATGAACAAATGAGAAGATGTACCTGCTGACAATTATTCCGAGTTCTCTTTCTAACTGGTCCCTTGATGCCTGGGACGGCTGAGCCTCCAACTGGACTCATAGGAGGGATGAATCCACACACCAGGAATTGCCACAGGATGAGGTTAGGTCCCAGGATCTGCCCCCAGTCAGGTCCTGACTCCGGACAGAATAGAAGCTTGATCACCTCCTAGTCTTTAGTTTGAAGACATAGGTCAGGGTCTTCTTAGTGGGGGAGACATCAGAGTCCTCCAAGGAGGGGAAGAGATCAGGGTCCTCCAGAAGGAGAGGACATAGCTCAGCGTCTTCTCAAAAGGGGGAGTCAATGTTTTATTTAACCTGTGAATGAGTAAATGAATGAGTGGCTTGACTGGCCTGACAGTCAGATCTGAGTTTGTAGCTCCATGGCTGGGCAACCTCAAGGTCCTCTAAAGTCCATGGAGTTTCTTAGGACTCACTGTGCGAGTCTATGTTAAATGTGTGTAGTCTAGGATGGCATAGGACTAGTGTCTGATAGTAAGTCACACAAAGCTGAGTCCACTACAGATAAGTGTTACCTAAGCTCCCATAAGGGGACACAGCCAGATGAGCATCTGAGTGGTCTCCTCTTCGTAGGGGGCACCCATCTTACTTTGTCTTTGCAACACCGTTGCAGAGTGGACAGTGTTGTGTCAACACTAAGAAAAGGGAGGAACTCCATCACTCTGTGGAAAACATCCGACACACCCTTCTGGTCAGCAAACACATTAATGAACGCGGGGGAGTCTGTACAAAAGAGAGCGAATGCTGAGCGCCTGAAACATGACTTTGCATAAAGTGAGAGTTGAGGCCCTATCCTTGGTTCGGTGGTGACTTCATATGGCTTAAGGGGGTGTCACTGAATCTCCATGAGAAATCTACTCCACTGATCTGGGTCAGGGGTTTATACTAACCCTCTGATGTAAGAGGAGCCTGAAATAATTCTGCAAGGAGTTTGGACAGAGACGAACGAAGTGAGTTGTGTCCCCTCCAAAGTATCTCTGACCCTATTCCTTACCCTCCATGTGGCATAATTGTCTCTTGCAGGAGGCATTGCGGGGAGTTTCTCCAGGACAACTGTCTTCAATTTATGTTGAAAAATTTTAAGAAGCGTTTCTCAGAGGATTACAGGTTCAAGTTGACACCAGGAAAACTTCTTGCTCTTTGTGGGTTTGAATGGCCCGCCTTTGGGGTATTATGGCTTTCAAAGGGGATCCTAGACCTTCCCACTGTTATAGCTGTGCACCAGGTAGGGACAGGGACCCCTGGACATCTGGACCAGTTACCACACATAGACACGTGGCTGCAGATTGCCACTGTAGTGCACCCTTGGGCCCAGTTCTGCACAAATAGGCAGGGAGAGAGTAAAGTACTTGTGGCTGGACCATCTCCAGGACAGAGCAAGGAAGAGCCAGAAAAAAATCATCCACCAAGGGGACCCCGAGGAAGAACCTGCCTTCCCACCTCCGTAATCTCAACAGGTTTGTCACCCCCACACAGTCACTCTATCCCCAGTTGTTGGACAGTCCTCCATCATCGGTGCCTTCACCACCTCAGCAGCCTGAGAGGCTACCAGGCCTGAGTTCACAGTGTCTTCTCTCAGCCACACAACCAGCCCTGCCGTTGCAGCCCTTAAGAAACCCCTCCAAGAAACTCGAGGCCCTTTAGAGATGAGAGAAGATGGCCGCCCTGTCCTCTACTATCAGCCATTCACCACAACTGATCTCCTCAACTGGAAGCATTACACCCTGTCCTATTTGGAGGAACCCCAAGAGATGTTTGTGAACTGTGACCAGGAAGCCCAAAGGATAGATGATAGGTGGATGAAACAAAAGGGGTCTCTGATGGCAGCAGCAGCAGTAGGGAACCCAGGCTCACTGCAGCAGGCTGCTGCTCCCGCACTAAAAGGAGAAACCAAAAAGAGATTTCCTCTATGCTGCGACTAATGCACCAACTGCAAAGAAACCGGCCATTGGAGAAACGAGTGCTCCCATGATGGGAGGACAACTGGAGGACCAAAGAAGTTTAATCAGCCTCGTAAAGGAAAGTACCAGCCTGGATCAGTCGTCCAAGAGCTCACTGTCCAAGTCAAAGGACAGTTAGACTAGGGGTGACCGTGCTCCCTGATACTAGGCCCCCAAGAGCCTACAGTCTCAATAGAAATAGGGGGCCAATCAATGACTGTTATGGTGAACACTGGGATTGAATACTCTGTAGTAACCACACCGGTGGCTCCCCTCATGGACCGAACAACAACTCTTGTTGGGACCACAGGGGATGGAGTCACCTGCTTGTTCTGTTAAGCCCGCTCATGTCTTCTAGGGGACCACCTAGTGACTCATGAGTTCCTATAGCTAACAGAGTGCCCCATTCTGCTTCTGAGTAGACATTTATTAACAAAGCTAGGAGTGCAAATCACCTTTGTCCCCGGGAAGCTCACCAGTCTCACCCTGAAGAGCCAGCCACTCTAATGATGGCTGGGACTATGCCCAGGGAGGATGAATGGCACCTCTATTCTCCAGAGAGGGAACAAAAAAAAATCCACCAGTCCTTTAGAAGTGTTTCCTACTGTCTGGGCTGAGAAAGGGCCCCCTAAAATCACGTGCTCATTGTGGTAGACCTGAGACCAGGAGCCACTCCTGTTACACACAGGTAATATCCCGTGTTGCAAGAAGCACGCTCAGGAGTTCAGGGCCATATCCAGCATTTTCGCAACACCATAATTCTAATTGAGTGTTAGTTACCTTGCAACACTCCACTCTTACCTGTTAAGAGGCTGGGAGGGAACAACTACTGCCCTGTCCAGGATCTCTGCCCGTCAACAACACAGTGGTCACCATCCATCCAGTGGTCCCCAACCTGGACACACTCCTGAGTCTCTTACCTGCCCACGCAAGCTGGTTCACTTGCTTAGATCTCAAAGATGCCTTCTTCTGCCTCTGGTTATCACCGCCCAGCCAGCCTTTGTTCGCCTTTGAGTGGGAAGACCCACATACCAGGAGGAAGACGCAACTGACCTGGACGAGATGGCCACAGGGCTTTAAAAATTCGCCCATCCTCTTTGGCAAAGCACTGGCCACAGATCTTGCTGCCTTCCCTGGGGAGACTCTCAAAAGCACCCTGTTCCAGTACGCAAATGACCTTTTCTGGCTAGTCCCACCTAATGAGACTGCTGGAAATGTACTAGAGCCTTGCTGACCCTGCTCTCTTCCACAGAATATAAGATGTCTGGGCAAAAGGCTCAAATCCGCAAACAGAGGGTCAAATACCTCTGTTCATCACCTCAGAAGGACAACAGGCATTTGGACATGAGAGTAAATGAGCTATCTGTTCAATACCTCAGCCAAACACTAAGAAGGGGTCCTCGTATTCCTGGAGGCAGCGGATTCTGCCGGATCTGCATACAGGTTTCTCTGAAATTGTCAGGCCTCTGTGTGAGGCCACAGCTGGGTCTAGTAAGGACCCCTAGGAATGGGGCTCCAAGAAAAGACCTTCAGAGAAATAAAGAGACTCATGACCAGTGCCCCAGTATTGGGATCACTGGACATTATATGAGACTAAAACTGCATGTTTGAGAAGAATCACTCCGCACTAGGCGTCCTCACACAAACAGTCAGGCCATGGCAATGCCCCATTGCATATTTGTCCAAACGGCTAGATTTGGAGGCTGTGGGATGGCCAATGGGTCTTCGGCCCTCAGCTACCACGATAATCCTGGTCAGAGAAGCAAACAAGCTTACACTAGGACAAAATGTAAATATAAAAGGTCCAATGCCATAATTGCATTAATGGATAATCAAGAACATAACAGGCTAACCAACGCCAGAATAACTCATTATCAGGGACT